TGCGAACCTGAATGGGCTGCGAACGAGAACGGGGAGGGGGGGCGCAAATGAGGAAGGCTAAAAAAAGACAGCGTATGGTTAGCCTCAGTGATAATCACTCAGATGGGTCCTGCAAAGAGGGACGCCGTGACTTTCCAACGCTTACAGATGTAATATAGCTAACTTTTTCTGCTTTGATCCAACAGTGTCTTGCATTCTCTGTTTGATTCTGTGATATGTTTTGGCGAACGGTTTTGTTAAGTCTTCCGAGATAACAACTGTTGTGATTTAAGTCTATACAAGAATTCATTGAATTAAATTAAATTGAAAAGTACCAGAAAGTCAGAAAGTTACAAACTTGGAATTTGCTTTGGCTCAAGGTGAAAACATGTTAAAAGTATAAATAGTTAAAGGTGTGCAAAAAATGCATTTTCATAAAATAAAAATTACCAATAATTATGCAGACAGAGTTTGAGGTTGGGAATCACAGAGAAGATTCTAAGAGAAGTCTTGGAAACGTTTTGGAACGATGCAACTTATGTGCGTTTTTGGTTTTCATTACTTTTTAACTTTTTCTGTTTCTGAATGTACTTTATTTCTATGTTGCATTTATGAAATTATCTCGATCCTTCCCAGTTAGCATTTTGTTTTTTTCTGTATTTCATTAACCAGTTTTATTTTCTAAAGATAAAAAAAATATGAATCACTTAATTTTAATCAGAACAGTAAAAAAACTTAGTAAAAAAACTAAAATAGTTGTGGGGATTTTTAAAATAATTCTGCTATTCCTTGTGTTAACTTCATCCATACCGCCAGGAGCTGATAACAAAACAACATAAAGAAAAATATATATATTTTTCCTCCCTTGCTGTTCCACATCTGCGTCCCACCAGAATGAAGTAACAAGTTGAGCCCACGTTCTAATGTAACTACACATGCTCTCACTGCTGATCGGACCTCTCTGCTGCAAACTCTAATGGTTATTGGATTACATTTTCTGGCTTCATAAAATGCGGTTAAGAGGCACTTTAGACATATGCGCATGACCCGCTCTCCCCAGACGGCTATCAGAGCAAAAGTGACAGGTCAATTGGCGATTTCTGCTCCGTAAAAGGCACGGGGCTGGTCAGCACTCGGAGAAGGTCGCGTGCACACACAAACTGGTCCTGCCCCCTCCCTTTCTGTCAGGGCGAGCTTGCACACACACAAAAGTATAAAGTAGTCCTGTAGCATCACTCCAGGCCAGCGTGTGCATGCATGTGTGTGTGTGTGCGTGTGTGTGCATGTGTGCGTGTATTTGTGGGTGGGTAATTGTGTGGGAGTGGAGCACACACTTAATGGAAGTGGCTCTCTGGGCTGACAGCTGTGTGGTGCACATGAAAGCATGTCTGTGTGTGTGTGTGTGTGTGTGTGTGTGTGTTGTAGAGCACTTGTATGTACATTGAGAGAGGAAGAGCGGAATATTATCAGAGTTCATGATGGTAACTTTTCAAAGTGCCCAAAAACAAATTGCATAACCCAATTAGTATTTTTCTCCAAACATGCAAATTAGTGAAGTAGGATTGGATAAGAATGTAGAGCAAAAAATTGGGAACTTTTCAGAAAGGGTTAAAATGCTCTGAATATGTTATCAAAATATGAAATTATAAACCGAGGTTGTTTTGGATACAACATTATTTTAAATTTATTTCAATACATTTTTATACAGTATAACATAACACCTTCAAGATACAGAAGTACAATGGGAAAAATACAATTTGAAAAGGGGCTGGACAAAGCAAATGTTTATTGGACTCTGACCCTTCTCACATGAATGAGCACATAACACAGGCCCAAAACACTCTGACCAATCACCCTCCCCGCTCTCCCTTCATGCTGAGGGAATCATTCTCTTTCTTCCATGTGCTTGTTTTATTTTGTATGTTTTGTTTTTATAGCTTGAGCCAAAAATGGATAATGTCCGATTGAACAATAACTCAATTCAATTCATTTTTCTATACTATAGCCTTAAACCAAAACAGTAGTGATCTCGGAAGACTTACTGTCCTTTTGGTTCTGGCCTTTCTGAGTGGAGTTTGCATGTTCTCCCCGTGTCTGCGTAGGTTTCTTCTGGGTGCTCCGGTTTCCCCTACCACTAAAAATGAGGCATGCGCCTCCTGCACTGGCGACCCCACTCTCTGTGTAGCGTGAGAGAGACAAATGCCCACAATTGTAAAGCGCTTTGTGACTCTGATCTGTGAAAGGCGCTATATAAATAAAGATGACTTACTGACTTACTACTTGTTGTCAGAACCCTCCTAGATAGGCAGGAACAACTCTGAAACCCAGTGGGAAAAGAGTTTTACACAATATGATTGAAGTGGTAACTAAATGGTATGAAGGAAGAAACTTGTGATTTTTGGGTCACATGCTCAATGAAGCCTAGATTGAGACTTGTAAGCCGAGTAAAAACAATCTCTCAAAAAGTGTGTACACCTATAGTATTTTTCATACAAACTTACATACTACATAAATCATATCTTGTAGTCAGTAAAAGCCCCCAAGACATGGGTCTTTGTCTTTACGACACTTTCCTCAGGGACAACAGACAATATACTGTCTGAACAGGATTTGTATTTACACGGTGTCCCAAAGGACTGTCAAAGGAACATTACATTACAGATCCTGAAACAGAACACAGAAAGTGCTTTTGTTCAATTCCAGACAATCAGCTGAGAAACACAAAGCAAATATTGACTTCATGACCTGCTGTGTCCATTTCAAATTGTATTGTTGTTACTGCGGTGGTTTTGAAGACTTAGATTTTCTGGAAGGAAGTGATTTAGTGTGTGTTACTTTAGCTTGTGTCCTGGATCTATAGCCCGTCTGTCTCTGGGAGGAGATCCCTCTCTCAATGTGGGCCTCCCCAAGGTTTCTCCACTTTCTTTTTTATTGCCGATGCAGGGGGGGGACAAAAGACTGTGGTGATGATCCAGGACACTTGAGATTCAACAACATTTAAGGACATTTATCAACATTTACGCACATTGGTCATCTTATGGATCAATGCCTCTTTGTGTTTTTTATTCATTGCATGTCTTGGGTTTGAACTGTTTGATTCTCTGATCTGTGTTGGAAAATGTGTTAAGTCCTACTACTGTTGGGATTTTGGGCTATACACAAATAAATTTAATTGAATTACTGATACTATCTCCTCATAATATGTTAGTTTAAAGTGATAGTCCAGAATTTGTCAGAAAAACGAGAGAGGGGTACTTGATTTAAAAAAAAACAACAACAAAAAACGACCCAAGCTCCCTGCCCCTTCCTTTCTGTTAGTTTTGGAAAACAAACTACTGAGCATGCGCGCAGTTACAAGCGCTCGTGATGATTGACAGCTCTTGGCATCATTTGATTGGTTAAGGTGGACAGCATCATGGATTTTGAGTCATAGCTAAGATAAAAGAAGGCGGAACTTACCCGTAGAACCAGATGTTGTGTGCATGGACTGGGTCATCGAGGCACCACCTGGAGGAGGAAGGTGACTTGTCCTCTGCAGCTGGGGGGCCAAGTCATTCCAAGTTCAATATGACGGCTCGCAGTGAGGAAAGGACGGATGGACGGATCGGCACAGTGTCTGCAGCGATCGAACATTCATACACAGTGCAATACATGCGGTGCAGACACCTTTTTATGGCCTTTTCTTTTTTATTTTCAGGTTCATCAACTTGTATGTCATGGATGAACCCCAGAGCAACCAGTACGCAAAGAAAACCTACCCACAACAAACACGGTGCTCCATAGAGAAAGACAGCGCGATTCAAGATGGAAACAAGAAAGTTAACTACACAAGAAAGAGAATGCTTGGTAATCCCGTATTCACACTGTGAGACTTTTGATTGGTTGAGCTTGACGATCTCCCACGTAGAGAAAGCTACTTGTATTTTGTGACGGCAAATGAAATTATTGGGTCTCAATGTTTAACTTTTTATTAATCATGTAATGTACTCTGCCTTGTTCCTTTTCCTTCTCTTGTTTTTTGTAGTGTAGATTTTACCAGAAGCCCCTATGGTTTCCACAGGGCCACTCAATTATTCTTTTGATCCCCTCCTGTCTTTCGCCTGGTGTTATACCAATCCTCTACTGTCTTTCACGTCTTTAATCATTCACAGTGCTTTTAATATCGCCGGCCTTAGCTGCAAACCGGACTTGGCGACCCTCTGCACATGTGCGGCCAGGACTCATGATTGGAAGTCCACGGGCTCAGAGCGATGCATCTTGACCAAGAAAGGCAGTGACTACGAAGTGCAACACGTCTTATAATCAACGACATTTATGGTCATCTAACATTTATGGACATAGGTCATCTCCTCCTTATGGACCAATGTATGAGTTTTTTATCATTGCATTTCCTGTGTTTGAACTGATTGATTTTCTGATCTGTGTTGGCGAATCAACATCTTTTTTCATCCACATGTTTAATTATTTCAAACATGCACAAGATATGCTAACAATTATTAACAGAAAACCTGTGAATGGTTTGAAAAGGGATTTGTCAAAGCAAAATGTTTATTTTAATCTAATTCTACCCGCAATTCAAATACATACTACACAATGCAACAACAAAAAATAATCAAAACCCTAAATTACCTTCCAGCTAAACACATGTCAGCAAAATGGCACATACAGTACTTTGTAACCACTGCTGGGATTAAAGGCTTTACAAACATATGTTGAATTGAATTTAAATTGAATTAAATGTAACTCACAAGGAACTAACATTCAAAACTTTACCAAACTTGAAAGATTTGAAAGAAATATTAAAAAAGTGTTTAGAGGACTGAGCATCCACAAGAGTTCAGCGTGAGAGTGAAACATCAAGCCCAATCATGTCAACACACATATCTGATCCCTCAACTTCCACAACAAGCTAACTTTGCACATGTTGCAGTAAAATATGGATTATTAGCCCAATTAGGAGTGGACATGAAAACCCACCCTCCTCATCCTGGTTTGGCCCTGGGCTGGTTTCAGAGCTGCCGATGAATTCCCGCGTCTCCGACATCACATGGTCGGCCCGGAGCTTTGATGCCGACAGCAGCTCAGAACCAGACGAGCCCCGTGAAGGAGCCAGGTCTTTGGGGCGAGCTGAAGTGCTGCCTCAGACGCTGCTGTCTCCCAGGGCGGCTATTGGAAGAGGATCGCTCAAGGTAAGGGTCTGTATATCGAGAGATCAAATGTATTTTAATCAAAGGCCCGTGTTAATGCGAGCTCTCTGTGTAAGCACATTTTTTTATCACTGACCAGGCAGATATCTCCACTAGCATTAATATCCCCCAACACCAGGAGAGCTCGGTTTAGGTTTCTGCACCAGAGTTTGATAAAGTCACCTTGATATTCGATTTGTGGAAATGTGTTATGAACATACAGTACAATGCATGGCAAGATACATATAATTATATATATATGGATTTAATCAACGTTTATGGACATTGGTCATGTGCCCCTTATGGACCAAAGGCTATACAGTATGAACAGTTTGAACTCTTGATTCTCTGATTTGTTTTAGCGAACCAACGGGTTTGTAAAGTCTTCCGAGATAACTACTGTTGTGATTCAGGGCTGAATTGAATTGATATTGAATTGATTGATATAATTATAGCCAGAGAACACACATGTATAATATACCATTATACCATACAGTATCCTGCATTAGAATCATGTGGTAAATTATTGAATCCTTTGCAAAGCTTCCTGAAAGGCGACGGCGAGCTACTGTTAGCTGTCGAGCCCCAGTTTGGAGTTCTCTGTTCTATTGTCTTGAGTAAACTATGATGCATCATCAGAAAGGCATTTCCCAACCGGACATCCTGGACAGAGCTGTAAATTGTTGTTGTTTAGATTTCTGAATTACTACTTAACTAAATCTAGTGCTGTAATTTCCCACTTCTACCACAAGGTTTAAGCATCAGTTTTTTTCACATTCTTGTCAATCAATGTTTTTTTTCTTTCAATTTTATGTATTTCCCATAAATAAGTTTGGATCATTTCTAACAGTGATATGTTACTATTGTATACATTTGTTCATGATGAATGTGTTTCTGCTGCTGGATGCCGGATTTTCTCCTATGGGGATCAAGAAAGTATCTACTCTATCTTTCTCGTAAATTATATTATTTGCAATCACACAGCTGTGCTCTCTACCAATAGTTTTGGAACATTTTAAAAAAATAAAATCAATTCTAACCCCTTTTCTTAGTGGTCGCTTAGAGATGGGGCAGCTCCATAGCGTTATTTACCTTTGATACTTGCTTCACCAAGACATTATTAAATATTCTAAAACATGAAATGGCAAAGTAAATAGTTTCATTATCAGTTTGAATAGCCAAGAAATAAGGGACATTATATCTTCTTGTCGGTGGTTCTATTACCACTTGGTGAGAGAGGGTTTATCCTTATCATTTTTACACTTAGTGAAAACCACCACCTGCTCATACATTCTGCAGACATATATGGATACTGCCATGTGGCACAATTCATTTTGTCTTCAATCTGACAACACTCTTTGCCCCGCAATGACTGCCAAATTATCGTGTAGGCGCCGGGGACTATGTTTAAAATAATGCTGGCTTTCAGGGACCTTTGCATGTATATGGAGTGACAGCCAGTCACAAAAATATATTTCCAAAACTGACTGATGGCAGATATCGCGCACCAATTATCTGAACAGGTCTCTTTTAGGTATTTACCCCCCTCCCGAATCTGTAGCGCTTTTTTTTTTAACGATCATTATAGCGCGCCCCGAGGCATTCAAGGGACTAAATAACACATGTGCGGCGGGCTACGGGCTGAGAAAATAACTCGAAAACAACATTACAAGACTAAACATCAACATGCGCCGTGTCAATCCGTGATCTGTGCCTGCTATAATTAACTGTCAGTGGTGTCAGCGTTAAAACATGAAGGTGACGGTGACGCTAACCGGCTGGAGTCACCGCCGCGGTTGCATCTCCATCCCCCCTTCCCCTCCCTTCGCTCGCTGACAGCCACACTATCTCGCTCCTCTATTGTTTCCCTACATGCGCCAGATTAGCGAAAAAAGGTAAGTTTGTCAGATTCGAGTCTATGTAGCTACACAAACACGCTGTCAAGGTTGTTTGTTCACGGGGAAAGAAAAATAGTTTCAGATGCTGCTGTCTGTAAGTGGTGAGGTTTTAATACACAGCTGAGCAGCATCACAGAGAAAGTGTGTTTGATAAGTCTGGTATATGTTATAGGCGTCTGTCTACAAGGCCTGAGTCCTCCAAGACCTCGCCACGCAAGAACAACTGCTTTGAGAAGTTTTGTTATAAGAGAGGTTGTAACTTTTCAATTCCAAATGCAAATGTTCATTGAGGCAAGTTGACCTATTTAGTTGTTTGTGTCTTTTTTCACTACATTGGCTCGTTTTGTTTCGAGATGATTTTAAAATTGTACTTTTTGTTTTTAAAGCCCGCAATGGTCTTGCCCCTCCGTACTTGTCCGAACTTTTGGCCGTTCGTGACTAAGGCAGATCATTGAGGTGATCAATTCAACTCCTCCTGGAAGTAGTGAGGGCTTATGCTGATTATGGCCCTTTTGAATCAAGGCTCAAAACTTATTTATTCAGACTGGCTTTTAACACTTTTAACACCCATTAGCGCGGTGGCACTTGTTTCAGTGCTTTTCAACTTTTATTTTTTTATTGTGTGAATGTTTTAATTGATTTTATGGGATTCTATTGTAAAGCACTTGTGTAGTAAAGTGCACTACATTCATTTATTGCCATCATATTAAATAAGGATAAGGCACAAATACAATTAACATAGGACTTTTAAATTAAGCCATTGTTCCTCAACTTTCTGGAAAAAATTTACCCAGATTTTAACCGTTACTAACGTCGAAAGGAACGGAAAGAGCAGGATTATTTAGTAGTTAAAATGATTCATTGCTTTGTTTTGTTTTTTTAGTTCATTTTGACAAGTCATTAACTATGTACAGTTACATTGTATATTCACAACCTAACCCACTGTTTTTGTAACAACAATAATTTGCAAAAGCAACTTAATTTAATTGTTTTTTAAACATTAAGACAAGTCGATCCAAGCATCTAGTAAGGTTTTAAACATGTTGTAGTATTTTTTTTGTAGGAATGTATAGATAAACATACAGAGACCACCAACTTTGACATCCCTGACTTTCATATTGCAATATTTTGTTCTAGTCCCAGGCCTGGATAAATGAACGACAACATGGTTTGAACTAATGCCATCTTACTCCAATAAAAATGCAAATCAGAGGAGACTGCTGCGTTACATTGATGACCCCATATTTGAAAAGCCAATAGTAAACAGAACAGATTATAATCCGGAGCAGATTGTGGCAGTCACTTTACGATGGCTCAACACTGAATTCACACCGGATATGATGCAAACCTTTAGCATTGTCGTGGCATAAATCAGTTTGAGCTTGAGCAGAGTGGATACAGTAAACCAACAAGCAAAAAAACACCAGATTGGAATAATTTAATTGTCCGTTGCGTCGCTAACGACCTCATTAAGGAAAGAATGATGGGAAAACAGCATGGCCTGAGTGAGGAGCCGCCAGTGTGACAGCCATCTGGCCCTGGCGTGTGTGTGTGAGCAACTGAGCGTGCTTGTGTGTGTGTGTGTGTGTGTGAGCGTGCTTGTGTGTGGGTGTGGGGGTACGGGATGTGTGGGGGGCTGGGTGCTTCTGGGATTGTTCACCATAATTCCCAGGAAGCACCTATAGAAGGATACTGGGTTTTGACGGAGCAAGAGTTGTGCATGAACTAGTTGTAAACTTGGACTTTTCTGTTTTACTCAAAATAAGAGTCTTGTTATAGAAAAAAATACAACATTTTTCACCGGTAATTAGAAATAAAAAGGTACTGATACATGTTGGCAAATGTTTAAGACAGAGGTGGGGGTAAGTTTCCTACAATCGATTTCTGTTGGTGTCATAAACATTTATTTTACACATTTGTTTATTTTTTTTATAACATGATCAACACATTTAAAGTGTAATATTTGTCTCAGAATGTAATTGTTTTTGAAATAATATTTTTATACAGAAGAAATCACATAATCTCATAAAATATTATAACTATCAAGCCCTGCAAAGATTTGTCTAAGAGCCAGACAGAATCATCCAAAGAGCCACATCTAGCTCCCGAGCCATAGGTTTCTGACCCCTGATTATAGACAAGGTATACATCAAGAACATTTTAACTGTTGAACCTTGTTTGTGAATTATGTATTGCTTGTTTTGATCCTGAAGAGATGAAAACAGAAATTCATAAAGGGCAAATGCAGGGACGCCATATACAGTCTATCTGCCAATGTCAACCCTATAGTAGTAGTAGTCGTAGTAATAATAGTGTTAGATTTATTTATTTATTTTAAACATATTACGATAAATAAAGAGAATACTCCGATATTGTACCTCAGAGTTAATCATGTCAATCATTCTATTATTTTCAATTGGAGATTATTTTTCCACCAATAACTAATGCAAATTCAGAGCAATTTTCTGTGACATGAATGAAGCTGAAAGAATTCAATTCAATTTGTTTTGTTTTGTAGCTCCAAATCTCAAGGACTTTACAAAGACTTGTAAAAATTGTCAATTAACAAACATAGATCAGAGAATCAAACAGTTCAAACACAAGAAATGCAATAATACCAAACACATATGAGCCATGGATGGAATAAAAAGAAAATGTTCATTGCTTTTATTAAACATTATATTAAAAAGATACATTATCCCATACTTTTTAATTCCTTGTCAGATTGATGCATATTATGAAGCCGATTTAAATTATTATTTTTGCTTCCATTCATACCTATCAGAACAAGCACTCAAATCTATCACATGTTATATAACCGGGATAACGATATACCAGACTAAGTGCCTTCAATCCCATTTGAACTGTGTCTTTAGTGATGGAGCGCGTCCAAACTCACAATCAAAGGATTCGGCCGGGATTATCCCAGATTAGGAGCTCTCTGGACAAACGAGGAGATGACAGGATATCGGAACGCACACAAATTAGCAGCTGCATTCCAACAGGTGTTTTCAGAGCATAAAGAAAAGCACTAACAGGACGTAAGGTTCAAGTAAATCCACTGAAACTCTGCCAAAGTAAAGAGCAGTGAAAGCTTTAGCCTTTTGTTGAGTCAGTAAAAGGGAAAAACATGAGGTGAGAATGATGTAGTTCAAGTGTGTGGGTTCTGTGGGAAAATTTGGTTTGATTCATTGCCATGTTTTTTTTTTTTTAAATGAAGCACTTTTGGATAATTATTACTGCGGTAAAAAAAAAAATTAAAGTGGTTTTAAGGTTAGCTTCTTGACTTGCGTGGGGCAGTGTAAACAGAAATTATGAAAAAAAAGTGTATTTCTAAAACACTGTTTAGATAATTGCATTTCAGGTTTACATGTAGCTCATAGACTGTACACAGATGGACAACCCTAACCATCAATTAAAAATAAGAAATCGAGAGGTTTGCTTCGGTTTGAAAAAGGACAATCCCGAACTAATAATAAAAACAGGTATGTTATTCGAGTAAAAATGTAGAATGATAATCAGCTAAAGTTCATTAACACATTATCAAAATGTAAACCTGCTTCAAAATGGGAAACAATTAATGTATACATTTTGCTGCCTTAACAAAAACAAAGAAAACGTGAACACAAATATATTGTTCTAGCAAATAGGTATTTTGTGTAATATATTTTATTTAATGTTCTAAACCTTTTTTTGGTTGTTGTGTGATCTCTTATTTATCAAACAATCAACCAAAAACAACATCCAGTCCTATACGTGTACAATGCTAACCCTGTAGCATGGACGGACGTTAGCTCCAACTCATGCTAGCACCAATTGACCAACATTAAAAAAGTAAACTAAGACTAAAACAATGGATTAGGGTTAGTAATTTTCAAAAGACTACATTTCACCAATATGGGATGAATAAATGTCTATTTTATTAGATTAGATTCAACTTTATTGTCACTACAAATTCAGAACAATGAAAGAACAATGCTGCTTAGAATCGAACCCGTCTTATCTTCCATCCATCCATCCATTCATCTTCTTCCCCTTAATCAATTTTTTGGTCGGTCTTATCTTGTTAAAACTAAATTAATCTTTGTAAATTTATAAGCAATGCACATGCGCACACACACACACACTCACACACCACGCACATGCACACTCACACACACACACACCAATTCTACACAAAACACTGTTCACTGTCCATGTCTGTATTCTATGTATTCTTGTACCGTGTATGTTTGTCATTTGCATTCTATCTGTGTTGGAATGAATAAAGGTTTAAAAATAACAAACAACTAGATTAACATTTTTTGACAACGATGGTGATAATTTCCACCTTCATGTTGTGGTAGTTTGAATCAAATCTGGTTTCACTTCACAATACTAAACTTCAGCACAAAATTAATCTAAAATGCTGTGTAGAAATGTAGACGCCACAATTGCAACAGCAGAAACGCAAACATCATTTTAATAGTGAATACGGCAACACTTTCAGTCCAAACTAAGTTGAACAATCATCACTTTTCAAAGTATCTGCACTTCATACGAAAGACAATATTGATAAAAAGCCTGGGGGCTGCTCCCTGATCCCCCACAACTATATTCTACTCAAACATTTCCAGCTTAATTTTTCAATCCAATGTAAAAACGCCCTTTTTATTCTCTCTTTTTTCCGTAGATTTTTCAGCTCAGCGTTAATTTGAATATTTAAAAGTCCCGGTCTTGTGCTGATAAAACACTTTTCAGGAGGATAAATAATGTAGAGTGTGGTTAATGTTAGCGTGTTCTTCTTTGCATATTTTAAAACCAATGAGAAGTTTTATCGTATTAAAGGAACGGCTCAGGCTTTCTACCAGACGCCCATGAAAAGGCATTTTGAGAGATTTTTCTTTGACCTCTGAATAATCCTTCCAATGTCTCTTAAGTGACAGTTTTGTGATACCG